TTTCCCATAATAAATATGGCGCCTCCACTTCCTGGATGCTTGTGTGCTGCTGTTGCCGGGCGGTGAGTGTACTTGGCGACGTTTCTCGGCAGGTTATCTCTGTTACTCAGGAGTGCCTTGGGACTGGGAGCTGGGGAGGGGTCCTTGCAATGTTTAAGATGTTCTCTCGCAATTGGGGCGTTACGGACGCTTCCCCTGGCACACTTCCAATTTCCTGCTCATCCACCCCCTCCTCCACCCCAACATGAGGCCTCTACAGCTTACCCAGCCTTGGCTTTGGGATATCTCGGGAATTTGCAGGCAGTGTGTCTGGATGAGCTTAGGTTCTTTTTTCTATTTTAAAACAGATTTGTTGAGATATAATACAGATACAGTAAAATTTGCATTTTTAAAGTTTTGATGACATGGGGCTTAGCATAGCGACCCCATTTTGGGCCTGTTGTCTTGTTTAACACTAGTTTCTTTCATTAAATATAATGTTTTCAAAATTTGTCCTTGTAGCATGTATCAGAACTTCATTCCTTTATTGCTGAAAAATATTCCGTGTATGCATATACCACATTTTATTCATCCATTTGTTTGTTAGTTGATGGACATTTGGATTGTTTTCACTTTTTGTCTATGATGAATAAAACTGCTATAAATATTTGTGTAAAGTTTGTATGAACATATATTTTTATTTCTTGAGCATATACCTATGAGTGGAGTTGCCCAGATGAAGTGTAACTCTGTCCAACATTTGAGACATTGCCAAACTGTTTTCCAAAGTGCCTGCATCATTTTATGTTTTTGTATGTGGGTATCTATCTAGTTATCTCAATGTTGAAAAGACAGTCTTTTCCCCATAGAATTGTCTTGGCACTCTGTGGAAAATCAATTGATGAATAGACATTTTTCAACAGGAGATATACAGACGGCCAACAGACACATGAAAAGATACTCAACATCACTAATTAAGATATCACCTCATGTCTGTCAGAATGGCTGTTATCAAAAAGACAATAAATAACAAGTGTTGGTGAGGATGTGGAGAAAAGGGAATCCTCGTGAAAAGGGAATCCTCATGCACTGTTGGTAAGAATTTAAAATAGTGTAACCACTATGGAGAACAGTATGGAGGCCGCGTAAAAAATTAAAAATAGAACTACCACATGATCCAGCAATTCCACTTCTGGATATTTATCTGAAGAAAATGAAAGCATTAATTTGAAAAGATATACCTTATATTCATTGTAGCATTATTTACAATTACCAAGATATGAAAGCAACCTAAATTCCACTGATAGATGAATGGATAAAGAACATGTGGTATGTATATAGAATGAAATATTACTCAGCCATAAAAAAGAACAAAATCTTGCCATTTGGGTGGACATAGAGGGCATTATGCTAAGTGAAATAAGCCAGAGAAAGACAAGTACCATATGATTTCACTTATATGTGGAAGCTAAAAAATAAAACAGAATAGAAACAGACTCATAGATACAGATACAGAAAACAAACTGATGGTTGCCAAAGGGGAGGAAGATGGGGGGATGGGAAAAATAGGTGAAGGGAATTAAGAGATACAAACTTTTAGTTATAAAATAAATAAGTCACAGTGATGTAATGTAAAGAAAGTGTGGAGAATATAGTCAATATTGTAAAAACTTTGTATGGTAACAGATGGTTACTAGATTTATTGTGATTATTTTGTAAGGTATATAAATATTGAATCACTATGTTGTATGCCTGAAGCTAATATAATGTTGTATAGCAACTATACTTCAATTAAAAAAAAAAAGAAAATCAATTGACTATAAAAGTAAAATTTTACATCTGGACTCTTAGTTCTATTCCATTGATCCATATGTCCAATCTTTTGCCAGTACTACACACTTTTGATTACTGTGGCTTTGCAGTAAGTTTTGAAATTGGAAAGTGTGAGTCTTCCAACTTTGTTCTTCTTTTCCAAGACTGGTTTGGCTATTCTGGGTCTCTGGCATTTCCATATGAATTTTTGAAAGAGTTTTGTCAAATGTCTGCAAAAAAAGAAAAGAAAAGGCCAACTGAGATTTTGACAAGCATTTCATTGATCTGTACATCAATTTGGGCAATATTTTTATCACAAAATATTAAGTCTTCCATCCCATGAACATAGGATGTCTTTCCATTCATTTAGATCTTCAGTTTCTTTCAACATTTATTTTTTAGTTTTCAGTGTGCATGCCTCACATTTTAAAAAATTAAGTATATCCCTAAATATTTTATTTTTTGATGCTATTGTCAATGGAATTAGGTTCTTTTAATTTCAGTGTGTTTATTGCTAATGTATAGAAATACATGAGCTCTGCAGTTCATCATCCGTCTCCAACTGGACTTCCTTGAGGCTTAGCTCAATGCTTTCTCCTTTTCTTTATTTAGGTACACACACACACACACACTTTTTTTTTTTTTAATACTTTTTTTTTTTTAAAGATTTTTATTGGGGAATTAGGGGGATAGGAACAGTGCTGGGGAATTGGGGGAAGGGGAACAGACAAGCTGCTGTTGTTTTGTTCTTCAATCTAGTCACACACACTTTTTTAGAAATGTTTGAGAGTATGCTGCAGACATCATGTCCACTTACCAATATACATTATATATATTTGAGGGGCATTTCCAAAGAATAAGGACCTTCCCTTACACACCAGGTTTTGGTAAAAATGGGAGCAATTTGGGCATGGTGAAAAATTTAAGTGAAGGTTCAGTGGAACAGAAGCAAGAGAAGGGATTGTCATCGTTGAAGGCTTATGGACCGGTCCAGAGAGTAGGATCTGAGGCCCAGGGGAAGGAAGGGTTGGCCTTTGCCACAGGAGGGACAGCTCCCTGTTGTGAAGAGAGGTGATGCAGTGTGCAGATGTGGGAACTTTGTTATGTTTGACAGGGGAGTTGAAGAAGTTCCTTTCTGCTGGATTCAGTTTTCTTTGTCAGTTAGGAAGTGAGACGTTCTACTGAAAAGAGGAGGAAGGTATGAGTGATAGGGAGGATCTAAGTTGAAAAAGACTGGAGAAATCATGAAACAATCAAGGAGCGGGGGAGAAGGAGTTATGAGATAAACATCTCAGGATTCCTTTGGACAGATAGCCCATTCCCCGGTTGGTGCTCATTCATCTTGAGCAAGCCAATGCCAACCTATTTAGTGCCTCTAATGACCAGCACACGGAGACTGGGTAGATAGTTGAGTTCATCTAGACTGGGGTTTTGCCAGAAGGGTTTGATGAAAAGAAAGAATGGGCAGCGAAGGTACGTTTAGAATATTAACCAGATGATGGACCATAGAAGATACTGAATAAGGATGAAAGAAGCAAGATGGGTATTGGATGGGAAATAGAGCAAATGAATTGGAGGTAGGCTGGGAAGATAGGAGCCTGTAATTTGTTTTTTTAAATTATTACTCTTTTGCTTATTAGAGCTAGCCATCAGAGCATGCATACGTATATTACATGCATTAATTTAATTTAATTCTTACAACAGCCCTATTAGGTAAGCAAGCATAGTCATCAAGCCATTTTTATAGATGAGGAAACAGGTTAAGTGACTTGGCCAAGGTGACACAGCTAAAAAGTGACAACAGTGATTCAACCTTGAGTCTCTCCAACTCCAGAGACCCTGCACATGTCTGAATGTTTCTGCAGAGCTTCCCAGCTGTGTTCCCTGCTTCACTCAGCGAACAGTGTTTGAAAATGCAAATTGATTATACCACATACCAGCTCAGGAGCTTTTACTATATTGCAATGTAAGTGGAAATATGTATAAAAATAAGATGAATTGATGGATGAATAGAGAGTTGGATAGATGGATTGTTACATAATAAGGAAAACTTAATTGTGAAATCTAGGCAGTAGCTATATGGATGTTCATTGGATAATTCTTTCCACTTTGTGCTTGAAAAACTTCATGTAAAATACTGGGAGAGAAGAGCCTTAATTGGAAAAAAGTAAATGAAGTTAAACCACTTTTACCTGAACCCTGGTTGACTTGTATTTTAGGTTTGTAAGAATCTGTAGAGTCATGGAAGAATGGCTGCTTTCTCATGGTGAGCAGGTCTTTATATACTAATAGACCTCTTGTGCCTATAGTCCCAGGTATCCTATCCTGCCCAGTACTGGAAAAAGTAGATTATGTAATTAAAGCACTTTTAAGAAAAGAAACTATGCACTTCTGGGGAAGGAAGTTGAACCACATATCAAAAGTTTTGGGGCAAAAGATAATCATTTTATTCTATTTGCCAGCGTGGGTGGTTTCAGACCATAAGAAGGGTCTCATCTGTCCCTATTACTTGCTCTCTCCTGTACAAACCCACTGACTCCCAAATAATGTATTTCACATGCACAGATACTTATTTTATAATAAAAAGGATTCTGCCTGTCAGTAGGCTTTTTTCTTCTTTTTTTGTTCAAATGCCCACTTTGGAATGTATTAGACATTTAATATAAGTGATTCTAAAAGAAAAGATAGTTATCACATTAACGTGCTATTTGTTTTCAAAAAGGATTCCTTTTGTTTTATATCCCTAGTGAGACCTGGGGTTGATGGTTGGTTTCAAGGTACCTTTGCAGTGTCATTCATTGACCTGTTTGTTCCCTTCCAGAAGCCTCCAGAGCAGTGTTTGGTAACAGGAAGGGAGAAGGTGGAGCCACCAACGCCTGCAGCAGAGGTGTGTGCTGAAACCTTAGGCTTGGTTGGCTAATACAGCGCATGTGAAAAGACTGGATGTTCTTGCTTCTTTGGGAACTCTGATCGCCTCACTCCTTTCAGAAGCAATCAGCTGATGTCTTGGCTCACTCTCTGCCCATCCGAATGTTCAAAACAGCATGTGACCGGGTGTCCTCAAACAAGAAGGATCTTGCCAGGCCTCCCAGTTGATTTGTTTTCATCCACCTCCTATCTTTGCCTGATCAGGTCACAGCATGGAGGCTGCGCAGACGTAGGAGGCTGGGAGGTCTTGGAGCGGGGTTCATCCCAGCATGGTACTTTCCAGAGGGGTTTCCTTGGGCAAGTTACCTACCTCTCTCTGTGTCTGGGTCTGACTGACTATAAATAAGAGTCATAATAGGATTCCCTGCTTCACAGGGCTGTTGCAGATGAAGCTCTTAGCACAGTGCCTGGCATCCAACAAGCACTCAATAAATGTTAACAACCCTTGTTATTATACTGTTCATGCTAGTCTGAAATTGCAGCTTTGAGATCTTTCAAGTTCTGACGGTCATTTTAACAGCTGCATAGTATTCTATAATTTGGAATACTGCCTCCTCCCAAACCCATTCCTTCTCCTGTCTTCTCTAACTCAGTTGATAATGCAACCCAGGCACCGAAGCTGCTACTCCTCATTGCCCTTCAGTTCCTCTTTAGCTCTGTTATCCATTCAATTATTACATTCTATCCTCATTTTCCTTCCAAATTATGTTCTTCATATGCTCCCTGCTCTTGACCGGTAGTGCCCTGCCCTCATTCACACGCTCTTCCTCTGTTGCCTGGATCACTGCAGATGAACCAATTCCCATTGCTTCTGAGATTGTCTGCTACTGGGCTTAACTTCTGCAAACCCACCTGCGACCCAGCTGCCAAATCTGCACATCTGACTGTGTAACTCCTCTGCATGGTACATGGTGGCCGATGGAATGCATAACCTGTGGTGCTGTCTATAACAAGATGTATTGATGACAACAACTTATGAAGCAGAGAGTAGCAGAGGAACCAAGATCTCCCGAGGCCCATGGTTATTTTACAGAGAGGTGGGCAGGGTTGGATGCACTGCAGAGAGCCCTCCATTAAACAACCCAGCCTATGTGATGTGGATATAGAACCGGGTCAGGAACACCTCATTTGGAACAAGAGATGTCCAAACACAGAACCCAGTAAGCCAGCTTCATGGTCTTCAGGGCTCCATTAGAGAGTGTGTGTGTGTCCAAGTTGCTGACAGCAGCCAGGCCTTGAAGCCTGGTCCTTCCCAGACATGGCCAGGAAGAGGAGAGGGTCCCAGCCAAGACCACAGGGTTTGTCCCTCCCCAGTTACCCAGAATGTGATCATTCTTTGACTCTTAAGTTTAAACTCCTGACACCCCATGCCACCTGTGGTTTGCCCAAACTGGTTCTTGTGGTATTCACGCTGTCTCCTGGCCATGGCCTGGCCTGCCCCATGCTTGGGGATAACCCTCTCCAGAAAGCCTGCTGCCTCTTTCTGAGCTCTGCTCTGTTTGTCATTGTGTGAACCTGGCATATTTCTGTGTTTGGATCACCCCAAACTGTGAGCAACTTGAAGGGAGGGTCTATCACATTCACTTTTTTATCCCCAGGGCCTGGCACCAGGCCTGGCATGTTAAATAATTGCCTGAATGCATGTTTGAGCAGGCCACAGAGGAAACTACCCAGAAATTAAACACTGAATTAATTACCACTGAAATGAATTTAGGATATACCCTTCCAGATTGTGTTATTGTAGCTATGGATCTATATACTTCACACACACACACACACACACACACACACAATTTTATTTTATAAAACCTGGATCAAACCCTGCCTATTGTTTTGAAATCTTTTTCCATTGAAGACCTCATGAACAATTTTCCTTCTCATTAAACATTCTTCTAGCCCTTGAATTATAGTGCTGTACCGTATTTCACCCTTATTAGAAACTCAGCTTATCTTCCAGCTGAAATTACTAATGGTTTAATGGTTTCTTTTTGTAATGAGAGTATTTGTTTCTCATGGTGAAGAAAACATGGTAAACAAATACTGGATCTAAAGTAAGGACAAGGGAGACCATTAGCAATGGGAAAGGAATTTATTCTGATTCTACTGTAGCTTGGCCTTTAAGATGCTGGGATTTCAGTCCCTCAAACCGTAACTGTCTGTAATGGCGGCTCCTCTTATGCAATGCCTTTTGTGTTGAATTGTTTTATTTTTTTCTGTGGCAGGACTATGGCGACTCAGGAAGTCACCCCAGGCAGCCAGTCAGAGGACAGCAATGCTTTGGACCTGCCATCAGCTTGTGATATGAGAGATTACATGATGCAGAGACCCAGCCAGGAGGCCCACAGCGAGGCTTTTAGTTCTTTGGAAACCTTTTCTTTTCCTTCCTCTTCTGATGTGGATCCAGGTAAGTAGCAGAGTTTAAAACTAAACTAAAACACACACACACACACACACAATCAATCAATCTTTAATACATACAGATATGTAATAGTTTGTTTCTCTTCCAATAGCAGATCTCTGTGGAATGATTCATTGTCTTGGGCAGAAAAACATCTTATCTAAACAAAACTGTGGGGAGACACTTCAAAGGACAGCCTCCTTGGTGTAACCACCACAAGAAGCTGTTTCCTAAAGACTTTTTTTTTTTGGTCTGAGTCCCTTTCTGATCTCCATCCAAATGCATTCAGAGGCAGGGGAACACTTGGTTTAACTGGGAGAAGAGAATAGAATTGTTGGTTTTTTTTATTTGTTCTTTTAAAACTTCAGAAAATAGCAATGTGGGCTAGTTGTATGTTACAGATAATAGTAAGGACTTTAGTTTTCCTCTTAGAAGTATACTCTGGGTTTAGGTAACAACTTTTCTACAAGTTTCCATGACTAAAGTTTCAAAAACCCCTGTTTTTTAAGCTTAATGATAATTCCTTGACATAGTGAGCATTTCTGGAGGTCCACAGACCTGGATTCAAGGCTCTGCCACTTACTGGCTTTGTGACTTAAGGTATGTTTTCTAACCCCTCTGAGCTCCAGAATTATCTACAAAATGGCAATTGGAATGCTTGCCTCATGGAGTTAGGTTAATTCCAGGAACAATGTACAGTACCTATCATGGTGTTTGCCATACATCGGTACTCAATTATTATTTTTGTGCTATTATTATTGTGGTTATTAATGTTAAGAAACCCACATAAATATTTTTAACTCAGGTACTAAGAAAGTATAGGCCTTGATGATGAATTTAGTATTGGCAGTAAGTAGAGTATGTACCTGTCATTGTCTTCAAGAATTCTACGAAAAAAAAAAATACTTGTAAACTCCCTTGTGATTCTGTTTCGGATCAGTGAGCCTCCTGTTTAATTTACTTCCTGACCAAGAACAGATCATGCCTTAGCTATTTTCTTTCTAAGTGCAAAGTCTGAGTTTATTTAATATTTCCTCTTCCCTCTCCAACCCTGCTGCCTCTACATTACTTTCTATCCCTAAAACTGACTTTGTTCATCATCTCTGGTTATTGCAGCATTTCCTGGAACTAGCGAATGGATGAACTGAACTTTAGAAGTGTTGCTCTGTTGAAATACTTCATGGCAATTGGCTCTATTCTTCCAGAGAATTCAGTGTGGATTCAATTTTTATTTTTTTATTGCCTATTGGGTAAATAATCCATAGGAAAGCAACTGTTATTTTGCATTTGGTTGACAATTCTAAAAAGGAGAAGCATGTTGAAATATTTATATTGGAGTATTTGTTAAAAATCTAGACATGTCATGCAAAAAGGTTCTTTTGGAAACCCTTATAAAAGTCTAAACATAGGAAGGCACGCTGCTAAGATAACCATTTTGCATGGTATGTGTCATGGTGGTGCTGAGTCAGACTGTCTGGCTCAAATTCTGGTTCTGCTTCTTCCTGTAGTTTGACCTTGGGCAAGTCACTTGGCCTCTATGTGTTGGTTTCCTCATTTGTAAAATAGAGATAATCACACCTACCTCGCTGTGGGGAGACATAATGAGGATGAATGTGTATGAGGCAGAGTGCCTGGCACATGGTGAGCTCGTGGAAATCCAACTCTTCATGAGTTTAGCACCCGGGCTACTCAACACACCACCACTCTGACCAGGCTCCATTTACACTCATGACCTCCCACCTCGAGTGGACCCTTCGTGCTGCCCACCCCCCACACACCATTTTCCTAGCGTGTACATTCTCCTGCCCTCCTGGATGACTATTTCATGTCATCTCCTCTCTTTATAAGCTTCCATTACTTCCTTCTTCAGCCTCTCTCTCAGTGGATGACCTGATTAAGAAAACAGAAGCAACCAGAAGAGAATCACCAACTCACATTCCACATCCACCAGCTTCCTTCCCTCCCATCCCTGCCCTATCCCTTCACTTCTTCACTGGATCCTGTCTTAGCTCACCTACTTAAGGTTGTCACTCTGGCAATCTCCTGCATCATTGGTTCCCCCCTCTACTGGTCATTCTTATGATCATAAAAACATGCTGTAATAGCTACCATCTTAAAAAAAAAAATGTCCACGTCCTCTAGCGATGGTCTTGTTCCTCTGTTCTTTTCTATAGAAAAACCCTCAGAAGAGTCATCTACACCTGCCGTCTCCAATTCCTCTCCTCCCAGTTCCCCCTAAAACCTTCCAACTTGGCTTCTGTCACTCCATGGAAATAGCTCTTGTCAAGGTCACTGACGATCTCCACATTCTTAAATCCAGTGGGCAGTCCTCAAGCCTTATCCTCTTTGATCTATCAGGAGTATTTACATAATTGACTTTTCCCTCTTGAATTCTTTCCTCACTGGGCTTTCTGGGAGGCAGCCTCTCATGGTTGTCTTCTTTCTTTACTGTCAACTTGTCCCCAGCCTCCTTTGCTGGTTTCTTTTTGCCTCTCCAGCCTTTTAATGTTGGAAGGCCCCAGGGCTGAGTCCTCAGAGCTCTTCTCTATTATAACCCACTTCCTCAGTAATCTCATCCAGTCTGGGGGCCTTAAATGCCTTAAGTACCCTGCTCGATCCCAGATTTCTCTCTCCAGCTTGGATCTCTAGCTTGACAGTTAGACCATCTGTGTACTTGACATCATCCCTTCAATTTCTATTAGACTTCTTAAGTTTGACATATCCTAAACCAAATTCCTAATACCTCTACCCCATTCTCCAGCCCCTTCCCCCTCACATACACATAGGCATACCTGTTATTTGAGGCTTTCTCATCTCAAGAAAGCACTTGCATCCTTCTTTCATTTAGGCAAGAACCTGGGAGTCATCCTCAACTTCTGTCTTTCTCTTAAACCTCACATCCAGTCCATCAGCAAATCCTGTCAACTCTACCTTCAAAATGAATCTAGAACCTGAGCGGTTTTTGGCTTTTCCACTGCCACCACCCTGGTCCAAGCCACAATCATGTGTCTTCTGGATCATTGCTATAGCCTCCTAACTAGCTTTTTCCACACCGGCCCTTATTCTCCTGCAATCTCTCCTCAGCACGAGCAACCAGAAGAATCCTTTTAACATACAAATCAGATTATGTTAGTCCTCGGTACAAAACCTCCCATGTCTCAGAGCAGAAAGCAAAAGTACTCCCTGGCATCCATGCCCTCTGGACCCTGGGCCTGCCGCCGCTCTGATCTCCTATAGTTCTTCCTGCCCTTACTGGGCTGGGCCTCTGCCCCACCGGGAGTGTCCCTCTGCCCCGGATACTCAGCCTTCAGGGAAGCCCACCTCTGCCTCCTGTGTCTAACAGCCAGCTCCTACTGATGCTCCTTCATTGTATCCTTCCCAGCTTTCTGTTCCCCACAGGACTAGTGCCACTGGGCACCCTGTATATTTGATAGTGGCAGCAGGGACCACTGCAAAAGCCAGGTTGTGAGGCCACAGGCCCAGGCTTAAACCTAACTTTTGTAAAGGATTCCTCATTCTGCCTTGTAGTTGCCTCTGGCTATGGGCCTGCCACTCGCCTACTCTTCCCAGCCAGGCTTTTTGAAGGGGTTTCCTACCTGCCTTCGTTCAGCTTCGTCTCATGATGGTTCCTCATTCCCGGGCCCATGACCTCCACCCCCACTACCCACTAAACTGAGCCTTCTCTTGCTCAGATGCCACTGACCTTCCCCAGGAGCTAAACCTAATGGGCACTTCTCTGCCCTGATTTGGCACGCTCACTGTTATATCACTGTTCATGCCCTGGAGGAGGACATTAGTGGCCAGGGACATGGGCCTTAAGAGTACTTTCTAAAAAACTAATGGGTTGATAAGGATCTGAGAGTATTAGTCAGAAAAAGCTCAAAAGCCTTAGTCATTTCAGTCAGGGTACCCAAAGGTAGGGGAGGCCAGGCTATATTTGTCCAAATAAACAGAGCTCAGCTGTCCTGAAATGACACTAGCCAATCTTGAGGTGCTGGTGGAGTAAACAACTTGTCACCTAAACCAGGCGCAGGATTACAAAATGCCCTCCCTCTGCCTATCCTGAGATAAGGCAGGAGACCTACACCCCAAAAAGGTCTTTCTGAAACACCGTTTCCATTCTATCCCTCTAAGTGTCTTTGAGATTTCACTGTATGCTTCCACTTTCCTGCGAACTCCCGTCAAAGGTCCTGTGCCTTGTTTTCAGGACTCTGTTATCTGGTGTCTGGGGTATTTGTTCAAAACATTTAACAACCAATTCATCAGTATTACAGTATTTTAACAACTGGCAAGGCTGTACAGGTGCATGCCAGCTGAACAGAGGTCCCTGTTGGTGTCTGACACAGGCCTCCTCTCCTGCTGGGCCCATTTATGCTGAGTCAGACCTTAATGCGTCAGCTGAGCTGCATTGTTCCCCAACTTGCAATGTGCTCCCTTCTTCCTGGTCCATTCCGGTCCACTCCAGAGGCTCCTGAATTGAATCCTTCATTTAGTTCTGAATACATACTTGTTGATGGACATTTGGGATTTTGAACTCCTTGCTTCTAAGATATTTGTTTCCTTTCTCTTTTGTTACTGGGCACAAGGAAAGCATAGAGTAAAAGAATGGAAGTGCGGAACAAACTGGCAAATGGTCCTGGATTAAACCTCTCGAAAGTCAGGTGACAAAGGTTTCCTAGAGGCTCCCAGTCCTATGTGCATTACTATAGTTTGATAAACCTTGGGCGGCTTATGTGGCATATGTCATCAGGGTCTTCTGAAACCTTTGTCCTGCACAGCACCCAAGATGCATTCTAATATAGGACAAAGAGTTTCTCTGAAGTTGCTGCTTAGACATTACAATATGAAGGTGGGAAACCTCAGCCCTTTGCTCAAATTTGAACTTCTAAGATCAGTTGTTGGAGAAATTGGTTGAATGTATATAGCAAGTTGAATGTTAAACACAATAAGTCTTTAATGACTAAAGACTCAAGCTGATAGACAGCTATAAGTTTAAAGTTAACAGT